TATTGTAAAATAATATAAAAAAATTTTTTATCAATTGTGTAACGATTTTGTGACGTATCAACGTTTCCTCCTGTTCACGTTAGAGGAGGTTTATGATTTGGTTGTGATTATAATAGAAAAGAAAGAAATTAATGGTTTTCTGTTAGAAATCAGAGAGTTGGTTATTATCTTCAAGAAGTTGATCAAGAAGAATTTGAATCGTTGGTTGATTTAGGGCTTTCTCAAGCTCCATTCTCGACGTGATTAGCTAGTGATCGCAATAGTGCTCAGGCATAATTATATTTACATAAAATTTTTTGTTGACATTTCGAATGAGCAAATAATGACGCAATTGGAATTTTCTCAAACATTGTCCTTGATGTGATTAACTAGTGATCGAATGACGCTCATTTAATATAATCAATCAAAATAAAATTACAATTGATACTCGAGCGATTCTTATTATTCTTATACTGTATTTATCAAATGTCATCGTCAAAAATTAATAAAACAAAAAATAAAGGAAAAAAGAAAGTCATTTAACAAGTAGCGGATACTGATGACCTTCGAAAATAAGCTAGTGAAGCAATGACTTCGACTGTCTATTTACCGATTTTACTGTTATCTTAGTCGCAATATTCAGCCGTTCCATTTTTTATGAATCCGTTTGCTCTAAATATAGCCATTATCGAATATAAATAAGTCATATAGGTAAAGGCCAAGAGAGATAGCTGGCTTCTTCATGTTTTCTATTTTCCATGAAACCTTTTAGAATAAGGAGTAAAAATAATAATTCGTTGAAGCTGAGAATGAGGATCCATGACTAAGTTATTTGAACGGTCTCTTTGAATACTCGATTAATGGCAAAATTTTCCAAACCAGGGATAAAAAAGATGGCCTTTTGTAAAATGGTTGTAAATTGAAATGACAAATTCACTTAATTTTTTTTACTAATAAAAATACTTTATTGATAAACACAATTGACTCTCTTAAGATATTTTCTGCTAAGTAAATTTATCTCCGGCACTTGAGAACGCCCTTATAGTGGAAATGAAAAAGGACAATGAATAGGTTAGATTTGTGAAATACAGATTCGATAAGGTATTATTGTCCGGAGCGTAGCGAAGGACATTTAATGATTATTCAAGGTGATACTATAGATACGTTTTTGATTTATCAGTAGTTATCTAATCAATAATGTAATTTTATAACTTGGTGTCTGCCCGCAAACATGCATTAGTTGCGTTTTTGATTCACTTTTTAATTTGCATTTTAGTGTAACAAAAACATTAAACTCCGGTCATGCAAAATGCTGTGCTAGAGTTTGGAACCGATTTTATTTTTCATATGCTAAAACGGTTTTAATCGTTTTTAACATATGAAAAATAAAACCGGGTTTAATCGGTTTTAACATATGAAAAATAAACCCGGTTCCAAACTCTATGCTGTGCATTTAAATGGTCACTATATATATTATATATATATAAATATAATTTAAATAAAGTGAACCGTTATCCAATGGATATCCACTTTTTATACTGTATACTATAACTGATCTGGATATCTGCAGATCTTAATCTGGATTGTAAATATGTTATATCTTTAAAGTTTGATCATGTGAAAAAAAATCCGGAAAAACTAAAGAATCATATCCTAATCCCAAATATTATACAGAAAATTAACCGCATATCTTAGTTCATGAAACTTCTAAATACGTTACAACAAGTAGATCAACAAGTACTCTATTCTTTAAATGGTTTGGGACTTTCAGGAACAAAAGAACAAAGTCCAAATATAGTGATTTACTGTGTGGGAGCTATTACGCCATAGAGATAACAGATGTGTGCAACGAATAATTAATTAATCAATCAATCAAATGCTTAACGTGCGTGGAAATTTTACATAATTAGCGTGGGTTAACATGGGATTGAATAACATAAAGAGAATGATAACACACATATCGTTATATTATATAAATACAAAGTGATTTTATTCATCTGAAAAAAAAAGCAACAAAAAAAAAATTTTTCTCGTCTAATTTAGCCTCATTTTAACAAAAAAAAAATGCCAAACACTGAAGTATTAGAAGTATCAGAAAATCCAGCAGTTCTGGAATCAAAAAAACGGAAACTAAGTGTTTCGACTGTTTCAACTACGGATTCTTCGAAATTGCTCGTTAAACGTCTTAGTGAAAAGGCTAAACTACCCGTACGCGCTTCTCCACTGGCTGCTGGCTATGATTTGTATAGGTATATATTGTTATATAGAAATTATTATTTTATTACATTGTGTTGATAGAAGTATGTAAATACGCGACCAACATATTATTATCTCTACTTTATGTGTAAAGTGCTGTAGAAATGGTTGTTCCAGCTAAAGGAAAAGTTTTGGTTCCTACCGACATATCTATTGCACTTCCCGAAGGAACATATGGCCGCGTCGCGCCAAGAAGCAGCTTAGGTTTTTTTCTTTTTTCTTTGCAAAACTATTTCTGCGTTACGTAAGCCGTGTCTAACATCACGTGAACCTTAGCATTGAACCATTTCCTTGACTGTGGTGCCGGAGTTATTGACGCTGACTATCGTGGGCCGGTTGGCGTTCTCCTGTTCAATTTCAATGACAAAGATTATATAGGTATGAAATAGTATTTAGGGATTCTTAGATCAAATGAAATTTTTAATGATCCAAATCAATATTATATAGTTAAAGAAGGTGAACGTATTGCCCAATTAATTCTCGAAAGGATATACACTCCAGAAGTAGTTGAAACTGATGTAAGCATTTGCAACCTATTTATTGAAGCATCGCTCATATCGTATAAGAAGTGTTTTTTTTTTAAAAAAAAAAAAAAATTTAATTTTTAATTTTTTAATTTCAGGATTTGGGATCGACTGACAGAGGAAGTAAAGGTTATGGATCAACCGGTCAATTTTAATTCAATTTTAATAGCTTAACTAATGCATACCCGTCGTCGCTTGTGTGGTTCTTAATTTTTTTCATATAATATCTCATTACAATAAATATGTATATTTGCTAAACTACATATCGAAATAATAAAATCTTTTTAGACTGCTAAAATCATCATTATTTCTGTTGTCATGTCATTAATGGCTTTGTTGGCGCCAGCCTATGTCGTCTACAATTGGTTATTTGATTTTATATTACTGTCATTAGAGTTGTTGCTTATTTCGTTGTATCGTTTTTCGCGGTTTATCTTTTCGTATAACTATTAGTCATTTATACAGTGTTTTAAAAGTCGCCACAAATTTTTAAATATTTTAGATTCTCATAAGATTAGTGATGCAATAGAATTTCGGGTTAGTGGGATAAAACGCATCGTAACTAAGTTATAACTTGTTATAACACTTTATATTAAGTCACGGCATACCGAAACATGCGTATATACCGTGTTATTGTGATCATATCGTGACTTTATTATGTACCATAACAATTTTTATATTTCAAAACTTACTTTATTTCTAATAGTTTTTACATATGTAAAGTACATTAAGTAATTATTCTCTCCATGAAAACATCTGTGCTACTAAGCTTGCCGAATATAATCATGATTTCCCAAAATCAATCGTTCTTTGAGATCTTGCTTTATACTTCAATAAATGGGGTTTGAAAAGATTGACAATTTCTTCGATTAATAAATTATCACCGTTTTGAGTGCTTTCATTATTAAAGAGATCTTGTTAAAAAAAAATTTTTTTTAAACAAATAAAATTTTTTAAAGAATTGATATTCGTTGATATTCATACCTCTGTGTCAAAATACAGAAGCTACACCAAACTTTAGCGAAGGTATCTCGACAATCACAGCCCAAATTCAATAAACTTTTTTTTATTAAAATTCTACAAATTTATAAAAAAAGTTCCTAATTTGGCTTGATAGTTGTTGAGATATCTTCGTTCAAAGCTTGAGAAAATTTTTGGCACAGCTATTTTGATTAACGTTGAGATTTTAAAACTTTAAGCGAAGGTATCTCGGCAACCACTAGGCCAAATTCGATGAATTTTTTCTTTTTAATTCTAATTATATAGAACCAGATAAAATAAAGTTTATCGAATTTAACCTGGTAGTTATTGAGATTCCTTCATTCAAAGTTTTGAGAAAAATTTTGGCACAGCTTCTATTTTGATGGACTGAGTTGTTTAAAAGGATTTAGAATGTGTGCGGTCAAATTAAACCTGTGTCGTTAGAATTCCGCTAATACCTAACATAGACTCCCACTCTAACCTAGTAAACTTCTGCATTCAAATTTTAATCTGATCTGATGCACGACATATCAACTATATTAGGGGTTTCAAAGTTAATATCAGAGAATCTTATTTTATTTTTCCGATTTATATTTCAACATAGTAAAAATGCCATTGAAAAAATCATTTAACTTTGAAACCCCCATTAAATATAATATGGCAATTTATGTCAAGCCTGATAAGGTGAAAAACCTATTTTACTCGCAGGTTTTAATTAAACCGCACTAAAGTCGATTGTCTAGTGCTTGTATAAAAAAACAGTTTTAAACATTTTTTTACATTTAAACCAGATGATAATTATGACTTGTTTTTAATTACGTAATAAAAAACATTTTCCTAAAATTAAACCTCGGTGCCGCACAAAAAATGCGCGGATGATCCTCGATTTTGATTGGCTAACGGCCGGTGATCTTCGAAATTTTGGCCCG